GACACAAGGGAAGGAGCTCAGTGCCTCAGGGAGGGGACACCTCTGTGCCAGGCACCGCTGTCCCCTGCACTTGTCCCCAGGAGGGGGTGGGAATCAGGGTGGCAGGGATGGGCTTGCAGCCTGGATCCCCATGGGTGCTCCATCACTAATCCACGTAGATCACACAGGGAGGTGGGTTGTCCCGACAGAAGTCGAACCAAAAAGCTTCCTCTGGCGAAGGCCTGCTCATTCTGCAGAACAGAAAACAGCCCTGTGTCAGTCACACTGAAAATCTCACCTTGGTCCCTCACTTCCTCCAGGCAGAGCACAGAGATCCTGGGATGCTCCAAGGGACAGACGCCCCGTGATGAGCGGAGGTGGCTGGTGAGAGTTCAACACCTGGACTCCACCCTCCCAAACTCCAGTTGTCACTTGGCCAATTTCTGTGACGTCAACTCTCCAACTGGACTACATCCGATCTCAGGCTGTCAGTTAGACGCCACTCACCAGTGTTGCTGTGGGAAGCCCCAGTACACGGACACGCGCACACCCACACGTACACACAGACCCGGGTTTTGGGGGCGAGAAGCCAGTGGAGTTGGAGTTATGCTTTACAGAGACAAAATGGTAACAATTTCTGTGGCCTGGGTGTCCCACCACATCTTATTCCATTTTCAGAGCCACCCCAAGGACTCCACATCCCCAGGACTGGGGAGCAAGACGCTGAACCTCGTCAGCTGAGCCAGTGACCAGATGCGGTGTAGGCAGGACCCGAGGCCCAGTGATTCTCTGGGCCCCGACTGCACCCCACGACACACTGACTCGGATATGACAGGCTCGGGGCCCCCGTGTCCTGCTTCTTCTGTGGACACATGTGTCTCCTGTTTGAGATGCCTCCGTATGCCACCCCCTGGCGTGAACCCCGTCCCCATGTACTGTCCCCTCAATGCGCATCTTGGCAAGACGCTCCAGGGAGTGGGAAGGGAGCAGTGCTGGCCACTGAGTTCCAAGGTACCTGGGTCACTGGACGCCCATCCTCAAGCCCGCCTCATGCCATTACTGCTACTTGGCAGAGAGAAGGTGGTAATTGGAGAGGACAAGAGCTTTGCCCAGGCCTCGAGCTGGACACATGGGGCCAGAACTGAGACGCAGACCCCCAAGGCTCAGGACACACAGCCAAGTCCGTCCACCATCGACATCGCCCCCCGCACTCGACACTCTGGATGGCTCCCCAACGTCCGGAGGGAGAGCCACGGGCCCAGCACCCAAGGGTCCCCCCACAGTGGGAGGACACACTGCACACTAGGCACCACGTCCCCACAGGAGGAACACTGCGCACTGGGGCGGGGGGCTACAGTTCTAAGTCCACGGGCTCCTTTCTAGAAGCCGGGGGCCGATAGCTGCCTGGGATTGCTTTGGTCCTGAGGGTGGAGAAGAGTGATGTGTCAATGGTGTATCCCATTACACTGTTCCTAATGTGTTTACTAGTGAATTATATAGTGCAACGGGAATGGCGTATTCATAACTGTCAATGGCACAAATCAACATACAATATACCTTTGTATAATCCAGGTCTATTTTAGCATAACTTACAAATATAATTTGTTTCCAAATATGAAGCTCTGTTTGTAAATACAGCTCCTTCTCAGGTCACGGTGGGATGGCATTGATCAGCCAGTGTGTAGGGTTCAGATGTGAGGTGTCCCCCAGAAGCTCACGTGTGAGACAGTGGAAGAAGGTCCAAGGAGAAATGATTGGCTTGTGGGAGCCTCAACCCACTCAGTGCATTCGGCCCCGTGGGGTTAACAGAGTGGTGACTGGGGCCAAGGGTGAGGCTGGAGGACGGGGCCTTCGGGGTCCTGCTTTTGGGGTAGATGTTGGTGTCTGGAGAGGGGCGTCTCTGCCTCCTGGTCACCCTGCCGTGCGGGGCTTCCCTCAGCCACTCTCCTCCGCCATGATGCCCTGCCTCACCTCGAGCCTCGACCAAGGGAGCTGGCCTTCTAGGGACTGAGACCTCTGCAACCGTGAGCCCCAAAATGGGGAGGACTTTTCCTCCTCTGCGGTTGCTCTGTCAGGTGTTCTAATCACAGCAGCGAAAAGGCTACGACCCCACGGCAGGCTGAAGAGGTTGTCAGACACACACACACACACACACACCTCACAGCCTGACCCACTGAACCCCACACTCCACCTAGCTCACCTACGGCCGGGCAATCACCCAGCACCCAGCTTCCTGGGTAATAGCGGAGAGGACGCCTCACATATTGCTGAACTCTGCACTGAGAGGGGGAACCGTGTGCACGGGTGCCTTTTTGCACCAC